ACTGTGAAGAAACCAGTTGCAGTGCCATCTACTGGCAAAGTCTGAAGTCACTGTTTCCTTACTCAGTCCAACCTCTCCAAGGGTATTTCTGAGGCTTAGCCAAGGGCAGGGAGCTTGGAGGGTAGAGAGATCTTAAGACAGTTGATTTCTATAATGGATGTGTAAAAGCAATTATTATCATCGAATCAAGAACAAAAACCAGAGGTTATTTAATTTAGTGCCTGTGGTATGCCTGATAAAAGATTTACTTAGTGTTTCATCGTCCATGTGTGACGAAGTTGTTTCTCTTTACAAATTGTTGCTGACCTCCATTACTTCTTCAGCATGTGCCCACTCACTTCTGCACTAGGTAATTTGGGCACACTGATTTTTAAGCCTTGGCTTTAAGTTAATACAAGGGCAGCGTGATCCTAGGAAGTTAATTTACCCAGTTTTTGTTATCTGCACGTACTGAATCCTATGTAGAGAAAATAGGTTAGGGTAGGGTTATAATTGTTATCATGACTGTTTTCTAACAGATCCTTGTTTGATAGGAGAAAAATTAGGAAATTGAACCCATTTTAAGAACCCCCACCCAATATCCTTCATTTTCTCGGTAGCACTGCATATGACAGTAATTGAAATTTCTATTTGATTGGGAAACTTTACATTTCCCCCTTCTATTTGCAGATTCTAAATGGAGGGACTCCAGACATTCCTTCCACTGGCCTACTATCAGGGCAGGCTCAAGAGACCCCAGGTTATCCATATTCTGATAGTTCTTCTATTCTTGGTAAGTGGTATTATTATTATTCACCTCCATGAGTGACAATGAGCATACAAAACACCTAGCACAAAGAGGGTTTTAAGAACTGATTATATAAAACAAGCTAGTTCTGAAATAGTTGATAAGAAGTGTGGATGTTTGAAATGTTACTACTTTAGTGATCTAAGTGCCTCTATAGCAACCCAGACACAGGTTTTCTCCCACATAAAATGTTACTACTTCAGTGATCTAAGTGCCTCTATAGCAACCCAGACACAGGTTTTCTCCCACATAATTTTCCAGAGGGAGAGTTTGTGCAGCTTCAGAGGGTATTAAAAGTCACTGGATGACAGTTTATCTCAGTCCACCCAGCTTTTTCTCAATCTGTTCTCCTATCTTCTCCTTTCCTAGTTGCCAGTATTTTTCCAAACATTCAACTCAAATTTTCTTAACATTTATTGAATTTTAAGGATTTTGCTCCTAATTTTTACATGTTCTTTCTGAAAAGCAGTAACAACAAAAAGTTATGGCAATAGAGCCCCCCAAATAACCCCTCAATCTTGTTAAATATAATTTTCTTATTAATGTGTTCAGAAGTTGCTTTCCAAATGTAAGTGTGCTTTGGTATTTTTTAGTGACCAGTCTTTCTTCCTACCACAGGTGAGAACCCCCACATAGGCATCGATATGATAGACAACGACCAAGGATCCAGTAGTCCCAGTAATGACGAGGCAGCGATGGCTGTCATCATGAGCCTCTTGGAAGCAGATGCGGGCCTGGGTGGTCCTGTTGACTTTAGCGACTTGCCATGGCCGCTGTAGACACATTTTGCTTTGGCAACAGCTACAGTATCAAAGTGCATTACTGGTGAAGTTTTACAGTCTGTGAAGCTTACTGGATAGGGAGAGAACAGCTTTTATGTACTGACTCCATAAAAGCCATCTCAGAGCCATTGATACAAGTCAATCTACCATGTGTAACTTCAGACAAAGTGGAACTAAGCCTGCTCCAGTGTTTTCTCATCATCGAGTTTGGGCTAGCTGTGGATAGCTTGCATTAATTGTATATTTTGGATTTTGTTTGTGTTGAATTTTTTAATCATTGTGCACAGAAGCATCATTGGTAGCTTTTATATGCAAAATGGTCATTTCAGATGTATGGTGTTTTTACACTACAAAGAAGTCCCCCATGTGGATATTTCTTATACTAATTGTATCATAAAGCTGTTTATTCTTCCTTGTAAGAATCCTTTACTATAAATATGGGTTAAAGTATAATGTATTAGACAGTTAAATATTTTTAATAAATGTTTCCCTTGTTCTATAAATACTGTTCCTATTTTGAATAATTAGGGAGAAAATCTTCGCATGCTGCAGGGCTGGTTCATCCTTTCAACAGTGGTTTAAACATGTTCCTGCAGTGTCTTTTTGATCTCATACTAATACATAATTTCTCCTCTGCTACTAGCTTAGATATATTACAAAAATAGTTCATTCCCAAATTGTAGCCATCTCAATTTATATGAAAACAAATATGTTAACTCTAATTTTAAATCCTTTGAATTCAAGTTCAAGACTACAAACTGGATTCTTTAAGACCTGCAGTTGTACGCTGCTGCTAAAACCCCTTCCCACAGAGAGGCAAAAGCAACACCTACGCTCCCTTCTGTGGTCCCATTGATAAACCAAGATATGATTCCATGGTTCACTTTGGAAACCAGTAGGTTTACTGGGCTTCCTTATAGAGCATAAGTGAGGGGTTCCCTAGAGGGGTACTACTACCCATAAAGACCACACAAGAAAGCCTTTATCCAGAGGGATGGTGGCTTTCCCATAGGCATCCAGATGAAGCTTTGACCCCTTTCCTACTCTTCCCAAGCCTATATACTTAGCCCCTCCCTGAGGCCACATGCAATTAGGGTAGAGTTGTAAAGAGCTGGCTACTCAGGTGAGGGTCGTATGATTCTCCCTAAGGGTATCTTTTTGATCTCATACTTAACAATTAACAATTAACTTGCTTAGCAAGCAGGCACAGCTGAATGAATACTCCAAGATAGCAGTTACCTGGAGAACAGTCCTGTACAACATAATGAGACTACAAATAGTTAAGTGACCCAAGACTTAAAGCACAAAACATTAATAATTCTTTGTTGTAGACGATCAAATATTTAAGCAATTTGCTGAACAGAGAAGCACAGATTAATGGAAAATACACTGGATTAAGAATCAGAAACTAGCCTTGTAACTTAGGTCTATTTTCATATCCTGAAAATCCTGATCAACTGCTTTGGATTTATAGTGACTTTTCTGAATTTATAGAAAATTTAAGTGCCTTTTATAAGTATACCAGATAGCTCTTTGGGCTACCATTTGATCTCTAGCTATACTTAACATATACGTGACACAGAATCTAGCCAAGTTATTTATGAAGTTGGTCAGAAACATTAAAACAATGGAATTTTATTTTGATGAAAAACTCGAGTTTACAATCATTTAGTAAATGAAGAGCAAACAATTCATTTTCCTATCCCATAACTCTTAAGAAAAAAAGCATTAGTAAATAAATATCTGAACAGATTAAGGGTAAGGCAGACTGGACAGTAAACCACCTCTTGACGTTCACTCTCCCTGCATGTGACTCACTCTAGAAGAGTTACAGGGCTCTGGAGATGAGTGAACCAACATTATGAACATCAAATCTCATCCTAATCATTCAAATAAACTCAAGATAAACATGTTTTTGCTTCTTGTGGGCCAACTATACATACTGTACTGAGGAATACTCTGATAGAAGCACTTAATGTTATACTGTGCATCACAACTCTAAAATGGCTTCAACAGCTCCATTTAACCACCATCTATAAAGTGCAACTCTTAATATTCTGCATTTTACCTGGGGCATGATAAGTATCAATTTGCATTCAAAGTACCCCAGCTGCCAATTCCCACCACTTCTGAGAAGATTAGATGTGTGAAAAAGGGCTGTCCCTGTACAAAGAACCAATTTCACAAACCTACTGGTAAACAAATACATTTATATAACTGGAACCAGGATGCTAAAGTTGTACTCATTAAAAAACCATTCAGCTACCTTTGGTCTTTAAAAAAGCCTACACTGCAGTATCCTAAACATGTGCATCTCACAATGAAGAAAAGTGGCCTCGCAGTGCAGAATGAGGAGTACAACGTCACTGTGAAGAGTAGCATGCTATGGTTTCAGGAACATCAGCATCACAGCATTGGATTCTGTGCATCAGGATCAAGGTCATTACTGCCCGAGGCGGGGTGGCTGGGGAGGATATCCAGCTCATCCACCTGTGGAGTAGGGTGCATGACTACCAGCTGGTCCTGGGGAATGTCTGCAGCAGCTGCTGCCAGGTTGGTGATAGATTTACTCTTTACACACTGAAAGTCTACATGCCGACTCTTTCCTTCCTCCTTCTCCCAGGACATTCGAATAAAGGGTCTTTGGACATAGTTGTAAATGACTTCTGGGCGGCCCCCTGGCCTTTTCTTTACTTTTTCTTTGTAGGTAGGATAGCCTAATAGAGGAAAGAAAGGATTTTTTTAAACAACAAAAGGACACACATGCACAACACTTGTCATCCAAGTTAGCTGTTGAGAGCTTTTCTTATGCAGATCCTGAACAAATGGGAATTAAAATAAAGAAAGGAAACATCATCCACTCAGTCATCAATTTAACAGATTTAAACTAAAACCCTAGAGATATAATTCACAAAGCCTTCCACCATTGTTTTTTTTTTCAGTAACTCAACCACCATAAAACATCCGTTTTTTAAATTTTTTAATTTAAATTAGAATCAAGATTGTTTTACATGTCAATCCCCCATTCCCTCTCCTTCCCCTCCTCACCTGACCCCCACTAACACCCTACCTATCCAATACCATTTCTGCTCCCCAGGGAAAGTGAGGTCTTCCATGGGGGTCGGTCTTCAGACTGTGTCATATCCTTTGGGATAGGGCCTAGGCCCTCCCCCTTGTGTCTAGGCTGAGGGAGTATCCCTCTATGTGAAATGGGATCCCAAAGTCCATTCCTACGCTAGGGATAAGTACTGATCTACTACAAGAGGCCCCATACATTTCCAAGGCCTCCTCACTGAGGCCCACATTTATGGGATTTGGATCAGTTCCATGCTGGTTTCCCAGTGATCAGTCTGGGGGCCAAGAGCTCCCCCTTGTTCGGGTCAGCTGTTTCTGTAACATAAAACATCCTTAAGGTGGGACTATAGAGGGCTGGGTCTCCATACCCTGGCCCTGGTATGTAATCTGCAGTAGATTTGGGCTCTACCTGTCCACCTGCAACACTCTCCTCACATGATGACAACTGGCCTGCAATTTTTGGCTCCTTTAGCCCTCTAGTTTCCTTATACTTCAGTCTCACCTTTATATTGCTTTAAAATTTTCATTTCTCTTTTGTTAAATAACAAAGAATATTCAGCTGTCTAGCAGCTTCTTAAATTCTGTAGCTAGTTCAGCAAGGGCAATATTTTAATCTCTATCACTTTATTATGACTGTCTATAAACAATGAATTAAATTTATATCTGCAGAGAGCTTTCCTTAATTATAACTTCTCTTTTTGAATCACAGTCACTAAAAATAACAACTAGTAAACACAACCCAGAGTTTTGGAAAACTTTCAATTGTTTATCAGTAAAGATATTTCTCCAAAGACACAAAGTCCATGGAAAATAGTGTATGCAAGTGTCTTCCCTTCTCTTTATCAATAAGAATTCAACCAGAGATAAGCAAACTTTCTGTAACAGGGTAAGCTATATGGTTTCTCCTGAATCTTGTGAGCTATATAGTTTCTACTGAACCTACCCAACTCTGCCACTGTAAAGTGAAATCAGCCACAGAGAACAAAAAAAATGACTCTAACACAACTTAAAGAAAAAAAGGCAACAGGTTGGGTTTAGTCTGTATCATAAATGGTACCAGAAAGAGAACCAGAAAGGCCTGAGACAGTAGACATTGGTTAGTACTGTCTAAGGGTGTGTATAGGCTGTGTGTGACAGGAATAAGGGAGCCTGGAGGGGTTTAGAGATGGTAAACATAGCCAAGGCCTTCTCAAGGCCTAGAGAAGGCTTCTTATCTCACACTTCCAGTACCCAGCCATCAGATGATATAGTCTCAGAGGTCAGATGGGTTCTCTTTGGATTCCCTTTTTCTTGATCCCTCCTAGAACTTCAGAAAGTCTCAACTTCCTATGTGACATATCGCCATCTTCCACACAATGGAATCCACAAATGGAATCTTAATGCACACTTGCTTTAAAACTGCAATGACACCTTTAATCCAGCATGCGGAAGGCAGAGACAGGCAGATCTCTTATGAGTCCAGCCTGGTCTACAGAGCAAGTTCCAGGACAGGCTCCAAAACTAGAGAAACACTGACTTGAAAAACCAAACCAAATCAAACCAAACCCACCACTACAACAAAAACATAAAAAACAAACAAAAAAAAAGCCTTTTTTATGCTTTAAGGAGAAAGGTATGTATGCCTCAGCTGTATAAATAAAATCTGGCTCCAATGAACTCGATCTCATCTACCGTCATGCTGTATTTCCTCCCATACTAAACCTCTCAAGTAGAATAGTTACAACAAACTTTTCACTTCTTCCTGATCATGCTTTCATGTTTTTCATTGTTTTTTAATTGGATTCACTCTGAAACTTCTGCAATTACAATCTTTTTCCTCCCTTGGCAAAAACATTGAGTCCATAAGAGTTAATCATTTGATTCTTATGCTCCAAAGCACTCATGTTATAATAGCACCTGCAACACTAAATGGTAATTACCTTTGTGTTATGTTTGACTCCCACCTAAGCAGAGTTCTCACAAAAGCATCTGCACCTCAATCTCCAGAGCCTAGTGTAGTACATAATATGCTGCAAGCACTGAATCAGTATGTAACACATATTGGATAAGTTACCAGAGCATAACAGTGATAGCTCCTTCCCAGATAGCTACCTTTTTTTCCCTTTTAAAAAGTGTGTGAGTGAGTGAGAGTGTGTGTGTGTGTGTGTGTGTGTGTGTGTGTGTGTGTGTGTGTGTGTGTGTGTGTGTGAGAGAGAGAGAGAGAGAGAGAGAGGATGAGAATGTGTGTCAGAGGTGTCTGTTCTCCTGGAGCTGGAGTTACAAACAGTTGAAGCTGCCTGATATGGGTACTGAGAATGGAACTTGTCCAGCCCTCAGATATATATGTTACTGAGAATATTCTTCCCTTTAAAAATAAACTCTGTCTCTGACCTGTA